GGCCGCTGTCAGACGGTGCTGCTGTGGCTTGGCTGGGATCCCCGTGTGAGCTGCTTTGCAGGTTCCTTCATCTCCATGAGAGGCAGAAGTACTAAGCGGCATGCGGGCATAAGAGCGGCATGAGCAATGTCAATGCTACCGCTCGTCCTGTGAGGCCCGCCCAGTAGGGATATGTGTGTCAGAAAACAGATTCAGACAGTGAGGTGCCTCCCTTTCCTAGTCACTTTGGCATGATTTTGCCAAAAGCTTGCAAGCGGCCCCTGGCAGCGTCAAACGTTTCCCCACACCAAGGAACTTGTCAGCTTCTCAGAGGATTCCCAGCTCTTTCTCCCCTAAACTCCAAAGTCCCTTCCAAGGCCTCTGCCAGTTGCCAAAACAAAAGGGCCTCAGGCAGTTACCAGGCGCTCGCACACGAGAGAGAGAGAGAGAGAGAGAGTAGCCATTTTGGCTCAAGTCACTTTGGGGGAACCCGCCCCCTCCACTGTGGCTTGAGCCGCCGCGCCGCCCGGCTCAAAGCTGCGAACCGCTCGACTCCCTTACGCACCCTAATTTCGGTTGTTGTTTAGGGGGCCATTGCTGTCGTTTCGAGTGTTCATGCTTTGCCTTCGGGGGATTCCGGACCCTAACCGAGTGGGAGCGGGGGCCAGTCAGGCGCACAGAAACAACATGACCTTCTAACCAAACATATGCAGTCATGCCTTCCAGGACCTCATGTTTCCGCATGCCCTTCCTCTCCACGTTGCACACCTTCACCCTCCACCGCCCCTTAACCCGCAGCGCACTTCAGCCATGGAAGCGACAAAAGGGGGGGCGCCCCCGACGATGCCAATACCAGAGGAGGCTCAACGACTACTAGGGGGAGCACTCCACTACATGAAAGAGCTGATCCGATGGGTGCCCCGACTCCGCGGACAATATTGGGGGGCAAATACAACTGGCCGACACCCACCAGACGATCCAGTGGTTCCAGGCTAGTGTCAACGTGCTCCAACCGCAAATGGGGGCAATCTATATACCGCCCTTCGTCGGGGAGAACTCCACAAGGACAACACCGGCGACACCTTCGAAAGGGGGGCACCAATGCCAGCCCTACCACCCTGGTGAAAAAGAAGAAGGTAGCAGACACAGTGAGGTCAAAAAGGAGGAGGACACCACCCGGCCATGTGAAATACCGTCGGCCGTGGGAAGTGGGGGACAACGCAAGCCGACAAGGGAGGAAAGCGCCCGTGGACCATGTGAAATACCATCGGCCACGAGGAGAGCGTACCAACCCCAATTCGGTTGCGATGAGAAGACACAGCATCAGGGGGGAGAACTACAGGAACCACATGCGCCACCAATAAGTCAAGAAGATGAAGAATACGAAGACGTCTTGGTCGACCAGGAGGGGGGGACGCAGTAGAGACCGAAACCGCTCGAGACCCTCACCGACCGAAACTCCGTCCTGCAGTTCCACAAACCTCCTCGTCGGCACCGTGGAAAAGACTACGAGCTACCTCACTGCAGCACATCATCCCCTCAACGACCACGTGGGAGACGCTCCACCGACAACAACCCAAGAGGCGAGACTTCCCAGCAGGAGCAAGACCCACAACTACCACTACCGCGTCAACCAGGGGGCGAGAATCAAGGGGACCATGTGAAAGACCGTCGGCCTCTATACGCGCCCAAGGAGGAGGACGAGATAGGGGGCGAGCAGAAATAAAGAGGGGGACAAGGACGACGACAGCCAGGCCTATCACTACTGCCAAGAGAAGAGACCCACCGCTCAGGGGGGACCATGTGAAACACCATCGGCCCTCCAAGAAGACCCCGAACATGAAAAGCCGCCACTACCGAGAAAGAGGAAATTCGGGGGCGCCAACAACAAAGACCAAGAAAAGCTGGGGGAAAAGGTCGTCCGCCTGGCAGCAAGACGAGGCTACAACGACATCGTCCACAACGACATCGTCCACCACTGAGACAGGGCTACAGCGACATCCTCCACTCCTGAGAGACCTGAACCCCGGGGGTAATAGTACAGCTCAGTAATTCAGGGGAGCGAAGCCTCGCCACCTTGCAACCTTGTAACCTCTCTAAGACAGGAGCACTTAACCCACTACCCCACTGCCGATCTGCAGGGGGCTTTTGACAAACTAACCTACCGCCCCACTGCCACTTCGCAGGGGGCTTTGGATAGACTTCGTGGAAAACCGACCACCTTCCTTCTTTTAACATGGCCAGGGGCGTAATTCGGGGCGGCGCACAATAGAGTCCTCCAGGTGCATGTTTTTCCCCTGCGACCATTCCATTTTCTGAAAGGGGACCACGAAAGCCGCAGTAAGCCCCTCATTCCAACAGACCTTCGGACTTGCGCGCCCCTGGGGGCGGCCTTCTTTTTCGGGAGGGGGCCATGCGTGCGGGACAACAAAGAGAGAGAGAGAGAGAGAGAGAGAGAGAGAGAGAGAGAGAGAGAGAGAGAGAGAGAGAGATAACCCCGAAACAGGGGCGGGCATAGATGCCCGGGGCGCAGACCCCAAGCCCCTAGAAAGAAAGAAAGAAAGAGAGAGAGATAGCATTTTTCCCCGGCTGGGAAACCAGCGCGCCGCGAAAACCGCGAGCAGGCATACAGCGCACCGCAGACATCCCCAGGGAAATCGGGGCATTGCACACTAAGGATCTTTAAGGTAGTGGCAGGCGGGGGATGTCAGGAGCGGTGAACGCTAGCCACTGTTTCACATAAAGGACGGACTGAGGTGCTGGGCGCGCCTGTGCGCGCGGGGGCCCCTGGTTCCCTCAAGCCCTGTAGAAGAAGAAGAAGAAATAGCCTCTTGTAACAACGAACCGAGCAGCGGGCCGTCGTGGCCGGGGGTTTTTCGGGACCCTCTGCCCAGGGAAGAAGAGTAGCCTCTTCGCTGGGCAGAAGAAGAAGAAGAGTAGCCAAGACTTGCAGTGGCCCCCGGCAGCTTCAAACGTTTCTCCCCACCCCGAACTTGTCAGCACTTTCTCCCCAAAGCATCCCCAAAACTCTTAGGGTCTTAGGCCTCCAAAGTCCCTTCCCAGGCCTCTGCTAGTGGCCCTCTTAAGGGCCTCAGGCAAGTTACGAGGGGTTCGCACACGAGAGAGAGGGAGAGACAGTGGCCAGGATTGTGGTGCTTTGCCTCGCTTCGATCCGAGCTGCGACCTGCTGGGCCAAGATGTTCTCCCACGAAAGCTACGGGTTCAGCAGCTTGGAGTGCACGGTCAGAGCTTTCTGGTCCACCTGTGCACTTGCCTTGATAGCGCAAGCGCACCGCCGCGGCCTCGCGGAGCTCGTGACAAAGCAGATCCGCAGAGCAGCTGGCGATGACTTCATGGAGCCGTGGATGGAGAACCAGAAGTCGAGTTGTGCCGTGATCCTGGCTTACCTGCTTCTGCACTTCCTCCACGCTGCCGCCTCTTACAGGCTTTCAGCTCATTGCGATCCTAGTGGTGGTCTGTTGTCCTTGTGTGTGGAGTGTGCCGGAGGTTTTTTCAACGCAGGGTTAGCGCATTGCACGCTGCACCTGAACAGTTTCCTCATGCACTACGTGGACTTCTTTGCAAGGGTTTGCGGAAACTCCACGAATGCAATCGGCAAGGCAGAAAAAACATGGACATGTGTGGCTGAGCCTGGGCAGCATAATGCAGCATAAAGCCGGCGGTCAGGACCGTGGTGTTTCTTTTTGAACTTTGCACTGGCGCAAGCATGTACATTCACAGGCGTGTGCAAATCTCCAAGGCCTTCGCGAGCACCATTTCCAGGCTGACTGGGGCAGTGTACATATTTCTCATGGCCTTTGCGATTCTTGAAGCCGCTCCTGCACTCGGGCAGCTTCTGCTTGACGCAGAAGGCCTGAAGCTGGGATGCGGGTTTCACTGGGTGGTCCCTTCAATTTCCTCAGCCGCGACGAACCTTGCACTCGCTCTCTATGTTTGGCGCTCTGCGGTCAAGGTTACGCAGAAGTGTGAATGCGCCACTTCTTTTGCCAACCACGTGTTGTCGCTAACATCGTCTTTGCCGATGGCAGAGCGGCAAGGGCTTGTTCTACACCTTCAGCTCAGTGATGCTGGTATACGGGTAAGTGGCATGAAGATCACTGGTGCGGTGATGTTGAAGCTGCTGTCAGTGCTCACAACGGCGGTGCCTTGGTCTTTTTGACGGGATGGTACTTGCAGTTGCGGAAAGTTCGAGACACATTTGAGCCCTTGACGCCGAGCCCCGAAACCCGAACGCGGACGTTTGCCCGAGGCCGTGGCCGTTGCGATGCAGCTCATGTCCTGGAGCCAGCCGCGGCAGGAACGATTGTATCCTGTCAGAATTCACTGTCAAGTTTGTGATTCTTAGCCGAAAAGGCGCCGGGCATGTGTTGGGACTGTTGTGCGTGTTTTCTAAGTCAACCATGCTCCTTGCCTCCTCGCCCAGTGTCCCGCCCAGTCTCCTGGCCTGGCCCCTGGAGTGCACACCCCCAGAGAATCCTGCAGAGAAGCCCATAGAAGCCCCGCCGAGTATCCATGCAGTGCCCACGCCCCCACCAGAGAAGCCCGCAGAGAAACCCACCGAGAGTCAAGGGTATTGTGGGAGTGAACACCCCCACACCGGAGCGCACCCAGCTAGGAAGCCCCCAGAGAACTCCGCGGAGAGTCCCGCGACACAAGGGGAGCTGACGGTGGGGATGATCGAAGTAATTACATATCTCTTTCTTTTGTTGGGCAAAGGGGTGGGCAGGTCGGCTGGTCCTGTGGTCCAAAACCCTATAAGCCTTGAAAGCTTCAGTCTTCCCTGAGCTGTGCACGCAACATCCTTAAGAACAGAAACCGAAAACAAACATTTTGACCAACGTTGCCCCAGGCCGTTCAGTTGTCGAGGTTTTGGTTGCCAAAGCAGCAGCCATAAACAGAGGCAGCTTTGCGGTTTGCATGTTGCAGTGGGCGCATCTTAGTGTAGGAGGTGTGTGTGTGTGTGTGACATCGAAGTGGAATTCTTTTGCCATGCAGCCAAGGCAGATCCTGTTGAAACAAACCCTGGGCGCCGTGATCTCGGGTTGAGAGCTGCAGATTTCTCCACTGTTGTGATTCTCGGTATCTTCGGGTGCAAAGCAGGGGTCTGCTACAAATGGTGCTCATGACGATATTGTCGCGATTGCAAAGTGATCAGCCATTTGCATCGAGATGGCCGTGCCGAATGTGTCACGTGATTTGTAGCTGCTTACGGAAGGGTGGTTGCTGTTGGCTGATTGACAATCTGGCCAGAAGGGCATCTGGTCTGAAATCTTGCTTATAACTTAGAAGTTTCCGGACCCATTTGTCAGTCATTTTGTACAGTGGCCTTCGTGTCGACATCACGACAGGCTCGCTCAAGAAAGCGCCTACATCAATGTATCCGCAAAGGCGGTCTGCTCGAATTGTAACCCCGTAAGGGGCGTATATTTGTGATTGCCCAGTGGGTTCAAACCCTCACATGCGTCACTGTGACTCCGTCTTCTTACGAATGTTCTCCGTGACTCGTTAACCATTTGCGTAGTGGTTGCCATATGTGTCACATGGGTTCCAGCTGCTTATGGCATGTATGCTTATGGCATGTATGGGTTGCTGTCCGCGGAGTGTCCACTGATAAGGTGTTTCTCGAGAATGCGGCTGGTGTCACTTCTCGATAGCTGGGTGACCCCTTACAAGAAAGCATCTGCATCATGTTTCCGCCAAAGCGGGGTGCCCTCAAACATCCCAGTAAGGGGTCGTTACGAGTGGTGCCTGAATGATTTTTCACAGTTGCCCAGTGATTTCAAGCAGCCACAGGCGCCAGTTCATAGTTCCTGTGTTCTCAGCCTAAAACCGGTGCATTGGTGTAGTGGTCACTGTATCATGATTTCGAGCTTCTTGCGGGCATGGATGGCTTACGGTTGGCTGCGTGACCATGTATAGGGGATCGCTCGAGAGCGCATCTGCATCAATCCGTTGATTCGGTTTTCTGCTCTCGGCTGTGTGAGACTCCTCAGTAAAAAGGCAGATGGTGCACCAGCTTTGGCAAAGGACCCAGAGAAGCCTGTTCTCTCAGGAATCCCCGGAAGGGACCCCTAAGTTCGAGCAAGAAGTGAGGAACTGGTGAGCCTTGTCGCCGACACCGTGCTCATGACGGGCAAGAGCAAGGCATGGCACTTCTCTATTGACCCCAATCTGCAGCCTAAGTCCTAAACCACGAAACCACGCCCAGACGCGGCCGATGTCGCCTTTTGGCGGGCAGCAGCGGCCGCCGTATCAGCACTGGGAGGTCCATTCCTGTTTCTTTCGAAGCTAACTTGTCCATATCCTTTGCAGTGTATTTTGTGGCCGATCTAGCCAAGTTTTTCTACGCCCGACATGGGACAGCTAAGTGCCTCTTTGTACGTCGTATCGCACAGTCGCGGTGCCAATAGCCAGGTGGGGTAGGTGCGAAGTACCACGCGCTGGTCTCAATTTTGAAATGCGTAAGAAGTTCATGCATGTAGTTCTGAAGGTATGCAATGTATGTAATGTATGCATTGTATGGAACGTATGTAGTCTATTTTGTAAACAAGTCCCTTGTGTGCTTTCGATGAATTCTGGATGCGAAGGTGACACGGGATGGCCAGCTCAAGGTACTGAGTCTCATGATCCCGGCCGCGCGCCAGCCTCGGGGATTCTCTTCTTCTGCTTTGGAAAGTTCAGGGCTGAGTAGGTTTGGAAGTTCAGGCTTTGTGCATGTCAACGTTGGCCTTCATCGGCTCGTTCTCGACACCGGCCCGTTGAGTCCCTTTTGGGTCTGTCTACAACAGGATGCCGGGCATGTAAGCGCATCGCTCCGAATGGAACCAACCGGCCTGGGATCCGCAGTCACGTTCGCCGTCCAGCCTTCGTCGCCCGGCGGGGGCTGCAGAATGCCTTTCTACGTGCCAGAATGATCCGGTGTTTTTCGGCGAGCTCCGCGCATGTGGCAGATCTTGGCGAGAGAGCACAAGAAATGCTGTGCTCGCTGGTCAGCGCTCTATGGCGCTGTGCACTTTGCGACATGTTGGCTTCTGTGCAGTGATGATGCTCGGAAATTCCTACACTTTGACTAGAACACTGAGCATGCACCCATGGTCACTGCCACATGCAGTGTCCTGAGGTTGCCGTGCCTGTCGAGCATCTCGCTTTCTACTACCAGAAGTACTACAAAAAGGCTGCGGCATCTCATGGAAACTTCTCCAAGTGGGGCGGGGAGAGCAAGCTCAGGTGTGAATGATTTAGCAAGCTTTGTGCCCAAGTCGAGAGAGTTTTTTGGAGAGCCTTGCCGGGCGGGCTGCCTGGGGTCAGCATAGCTGTCCTGTGTCTTGAGTGAAATCATGTCGCACTCGCCGCTTGAAAGCAGGCTCTCAACATCAAGTTCTTCGGAGTGGATAGTTGCGAGGAGCTGCAACGAGACGTTCAAGTCCATACCAGCAACTGGTGCATCGGATATCAGCGACACTGGACATGTTTGAAAGTGCATGTTGCTTCGGCACGTTTGCAGTTTCACTGGCCCAAGCGTGTGACGATAGTCCCGCGGCTAGCATGAGCATGATTCCCGCCCCTCCGAGTACAAGTACCTTGGTAAAGAGCAGGCACGATTTTAAGTGCTTGCGCGCAAAAAGCCGTGCTTTTTTTGTGTTTGACAACAAATGCTTGAGTTGCTTTCGCAGAATATCTTAGGGGGGTCGAGGCCCGGGCCTCCCTGAGACGCTGCAGCCGAGGCGATGGAACCAACGACAGCTTCGACAGCATAGACTCGATCATCATGTTGCCAAAGCCCTGCCGGAGGTCCTGGGCAGAGGCAGACAGCGACTCGTCTGCTTTATCACGAAAGCTCCCAGGGAGCTTCGTTCAATACCCCGTAAGGGCTGGGGCGGAGCCGTGGGGGTCTGGGGGTGGGGCTGGTCAAGAAATGGCCGTCGGCTTGCTATCCCCCTTTTTGGGGCATTCTCGGGTGCTCGGAGCGGTCTAATTTTGGTGCCTTTCTGCCTGAAACGGGACCGGCCTGATGCCGCTGATGCTCGCCTGCTGGGGTGCCTGGCGGTGGGCTCTGCTGCTGCTGGCCGCCCGCGGACGCCTGTCCCGAAAGCATTTTAGAGCCGTGATTACGACTTCACTTTTTTAAGAAATTATCATCCATCACGAGATCCAACACGAAATCCATGACGACATGCATCCACGACGACATCCATCCATGCGTTAACGACGACAACGAAAAAACACGAAAACCATTTTCGACAATGCTCGAACACGCAGAGGTTGTCGTTCGCGCGCTCGCGACACCCCGCGCACACGCAGAGGGTCATCGTTGTTGCGTTTCGACAACGTTTCGACAACGCAAAAAACACGCAGGGGGTTGTCAAACGGGCGTCACGACACCCCGTGCACACGCAGAGGGTCATCGTTTTTGTGTTTCGACAACGACATGACACGCAGAGGGTTCGCGTTTTTCCATTTTTTGAGGAAGTGCGGCGGCTCCCGCCAACCCTACCCCGTGCTTTAAAACATATTACTTTTTAAGAGGACAACCCTTCAAAGCCATCACGCAACGAAAGCACGCCACGAAATCCATCAAATCCATCACGCCATCCATCACGCCATCCATATAACGACATGCACTCTTTCACGACCACCCCCTCCGCTGAATAACCCTCCGCCATGCTTTCGGGAAAAGCGCTCGCATCACGGAGCTTTCGTTTCTGCCTGTGGCTATCAAGTCCGGTCTTGTCTTTGCAAGGGCATGGGTGAAGAAGGTGTGCTTAACGCCGAGAGCAGGCGCAGAGACTGCCAAATCATCATCCGAGGTTGACCCCAGACTCTATGCAATCAAGCGCCGCCTGATTCAACTTGTTCTGGGGTTGGCAACAAAGTCTCGTGGCCATGTCGTCTCCAAGAGTGGTCGCAGCGTTAAGGACATGGCAACACTACAACAAACATAAGTTATTGCCTTCTACACCGGTTCAAGTGTGCACAAGATTTTCGAAGCAATCAGCGCAAAAGTAGCTCGAAGACAAAGTGAACGTGGCTTCAGTTCATTGATGGAAATGGTCGGAGTGCACCAGCCTGTTTGATGAGTTCCCTTTCCTTTGCTCTGCTCAGGACTTTGTGGTAACTGCCGAGAAACTGCCTCAGGAAGCAGAACGCACGATCCTGAGCGAGTGCGTCGCTCGCCGTCACGTGAAGGCCCCCAGTTTTCCACAGCCTGGCGATCCGCAAAGACCAGCGGTAGTGTCTGTTACTGGTCTCTGTCGTAAGCTGCCAGGCCTGGATGCGATCCACGTCCATGCAGCAGGTCGGCCCCAAAGATGGTCGGTGAGAAACGGGCGGTTGTCTACAGTAGAGAGCAGAGAAACATGGCAGTGGTGAAGTCTCGGAAGCTCTTCTTGGCCACGAGCTCTTATGACAGTGGAAGTCAAGATTAGATCTTCCAACTCAGGTGAGAGACTCCATTGACGCCTGCTGCCTCGACGATGTGACATCGCCAGTTGCAGATCACGTGACGGTGCAGATACCGGGTCGCGAGCACCGCAGCTGCCCCGGCTGCTTCACCAGCTCTCTGTCTTCTGGACTCCTCCTGTTGGCTGGCATCTCGCCGAAGCCTGGCCGCTGTCAGACGGTGCTGCTGTGGCTTGGCTGGGATCCCCGTGTGAGCTGCTTTGCAGGTTCCTTCATCTCCATGAGAGGCAGAAGTACTAAGCGGCATGCGGGCATAAGAGCGGCATGAGCAGTGTCAATGCTACCGCTCGTCCTGTGAGGCCCGCCTAGTAGGGATATGTGTCAGAAAACAGTTTCAGGCAGTCAGGTGCCTCCCTTTCCTAGTCACTTTGGCATGATTTTGCCAAAAGCTTGCAAGCGGCCCCCGGCAGCGTCAAACGTTTCCCCACACCAAGGAACTTGTCAGCACTTTCTCCCCCAAAACATCCCCAGGCATCAGCCCAGATGGCCTCCAACCTCTCCCTTCCGCCTCTCCCAGCGGCCAAAACAAAAGGGCCTCAGGCAGTTGGGGTTCGCACATGTTCGCACACGAGAGTGGCCACAGGATT